ACATATGAACGCCGCGAGTCTACCAAACAAATTGGATGAACTACGTGAACTTAGCAATTATAATAAGGCTTACCTTTTAGGAATATCTGAAACCTGGATATCTTCTCAGTTGTCGGACCATGAGTTAGCATTACCTGGGATGTCTTTGTTCTCCAATGACAGAAAATCAGGATATCGGGGTGGAATAGCTGTTTACATACGTTCTTGCTTGGAGGTGCATCAAGTTCATAACCTCGAGTTTAACAATCTTGAGGATTCTATATGGTGCTCTGTAAGATTGTCAAGTACTTCGAAGTGTCTAGTTGAAGTCATTTACAGGAAGCCAACTGCCGATATCGAGTACGATAGTCGTATGCTGGAAGGACTATCCCGCTCTACTCGTCTCGGTTTCACACGCATCCTGATTCTAGGAGTCTTTAATCTCCCTAGAGTGAACTTCGCGGAACACACGTACACTGGAGGCGACAACCCAATTGAAGCTCGGTTCTTCAACCTCATCGATGACTTGGGATTGTTCGAAAATGTGGGGTCGGCAACTCGTTGGAGAAACAATCAGACGCCATCGCGCTTAAACTGTGTATTCACAAACGAAGAATTTCTAGTTGATAACCTCTAAATCCTGGCTCCCCTGGGGAAATACAGTCATGCCGTCATAGCCTTCAGTTTTGTCAGCAAAACTAAGCTAAGATACCCTACCAATAACTTGCGTTGGAATTTTAAACGGCTGAATGTGCCAGCTCTACACGACTATCTACAACGGGTGGTTTGGGATGTTCACCCCCAACTCGACGTGGACGGTCATTGGGAATTCTTACTGCACACGCTCTTACGTGCTACAAACCATTCAGTTCCTCAAACGGTTCCCAAAAGCTGCAAGCCACCTACAATAATCAAGAACCGTACCCTTTGCCTGCCAAGCCACAAAAGGCACAAACTAACTGACATTGACGGAGCGTACAGGCAATATAAAAATAGCAGGAACATATGCACGAAGGCTATAAGAGAAGACAGGCTTCAGCACCAGACAAAGATTATGGACAACTTTGCCTCCAACCCTAGAAGCCTCTTCCTTTATGCAGCCTTTCTTCATCAAGTCAGAACAGCAGTTTCTCAACTGGTAGGTCTTAACGGCCCGACCAACAACGATGGCGACGCCGCTCACCTTCTGGTTGAACATTACTCTCAACACATTTCAACCGACCGATATTAACTTTACTGATGACTGTTTCGTTTGCAATTCCACAGAACTTTCCGAAGTGAACCTAAGCGCTGACTTGGTGTTCCGGAAACCGCAGCACTTAAGATTTGACACTTCTCCTGGCCCGGACATGGTCCATTCCGCCATACTGAGGGAAGCAGCCTCAATCTTGGCAACGCCGCTTAGCGTGATGTTCCCACACTCGCTAAGTCGAGGAAAACGACCGGAAAATTGGAAGCTGGCTCACATCACACCAATTTTCAAAGGAGATCGACAAGGCGAACCTTCAAGTTACCGACCAGTGGCTCTTCTCTCCATACCCTAAAAAATCATGGAGTCCATGATATGCGGTGGTATAAATGACCATTTACTGTCCCCAGGGCTCAGTACTAGGACCTCTTCTCTTCTTGATCTACATAAATGATCTTCCTCAACAGGTGACGTCAGACTTATTACATTTTGCCGATGACGTGAAACTTTGGTGAGAGATACGCAACCAAGACGATATACAGGCACTTCAGGAGGATCTGACTCGACTTCAAAGTTGGGCAGACGACAACGGACCTACCTTTAACACTTCAAAGTGTAAAGTAGTCCATCTGCGACATGTCGCAGACTACGGTTATAACTTATATAACTCATCTCTAGTAGTATGCCAAGTCGAAAATGATTTAGGAATCTTGGTGCCCTACGATTTAAAGTCTTACGCTAACTGTGACACAAATGCCTTCCGAGCAAACCTTGCACTGATAACATTGAAGCGCATTTTTGGCCAGTTTGACGGACGAACTTTTCATATAATCTTCAATAGTTTAGAGTACGGAAACATAGTATTTCCCCCCTCACTCCAAAAGGATAAGGACACCCTGGAGCGTATCCAACGACGAGCCAGTTAGAGGACTCAAATTTAAACCTTACGAAGAGCGCCTCCATTCACTTAACCTTTACCCATAAGAGTATAGACGTCTTAGAGGTGATCTTATGATGACTGATAGTATCCTTAACACTTCTGGACATCCTCTCAAACACCTACTTAAGCTTAGTTCCAACACTAACCTAAGAGGTAACACCCAAAAACTGGGGACACAACATAGCAGAACGGACTGTAGGCACAACTTCTACTCCTTATGAGTTGTCAAATGCTGGAATTTGCCGCCGGCCGAGCTAGTCCAAGCGACTTCCCAGGAGTCCTTTAAGAGGTAACTTGATCTATTCTTAAGGAGTAAGGATAGTATCACCTATGATTTACTAATTTCTTTTCCTCTTTTATTGTTAACATACCTAGGTTCCTACCTGGAGGATTTGGTGATCCCCTGCTACTAGACACGGAAGCCTGTTAAGCGAAAGCTTCTTCTATTCCGTCCACAACTATTTGAACCATTTGTTGTGTAACCTCCTTGAACAGTTTCCAAGGCATTGCATTGACCTTGCTAAACTTGCCCAGCTTCAAAAGCCTTTATCGATCAATGGAGGCACACTATGCGTGTTAGTTTACGGGTTTTCGCGCACATGTAACATATTGTCGTGGATTTTATGTTTCGTTATTTATCAGCTATTAACAGCCTTTTTTCCATCATACGTGACTTCTCGTAATCTTTGTGATTGGAAGATAGTATTTATTTCAATTTATAAGCAGTTTGACGTATTTTGTGCTCACCACCTAAGTAAACATGCAGTTGGCGTAATATGGTTATTTTTTAATAATACAAGGTCAAACAAGTCAAATCACCATTTTTCTAGTCAAAAATAGAAAACAGATTGACTTTTCATGAAAATAAGCAGTGAAAAGCATTATATATGGTTCACCTCCTTAATTATGGTGACAGCAAACATAGATGTTCGCAGTCGTTTATAAGATGTTATCAGAAAGAAGTAAGCATTAAACTAACTATGGATATTATATAAATTGTTTGTATTTAGCCATAAAAGGTTATTTGCACTAAAGGTAGCTTTGTTTGGTATTGAAGTGACATATTATTGTGTAACGTATCAGAGAAAAATTATGTGAGTAAGAATTGATGTTGATAGTCTTTTTTACCGGCTTTCTGAACGTATACAGGAACAGTGTATAACACCACATTAAATAGGCACAAAATCTTCATAAGTGAAACGATGGCTGTCTCTTCTGAGCATGGTGACAAAACCATGTCGTACTTAATATTGATTCATGATGTGTCTGTTATAGGGTTGACGAATAATTTTCTGTAAACGAAATGCACAGTCTCAGACGAAAATGTGAACAAACTTATGATGCATATTGTCGAGTAATATCTAAATGGTACCTACCAATTTTTCTTGCTAATACCAGATGTATGTACGAAATAATACAAGGGTTAGACACTGAATAAATTCCCAGTGCTTGTTACGACACAGACTTGAATAAAAAGCAACTATTCATGAGTTAATTCATGAATTCCTACTGTGTTACAGACTGACTCGTCCGAAGTAATTCATGCAGACAACGGGACGAAAAGTGAATGAGCAATGGAAGCAGAATCACAAGTTCCTTGTATTCATATCTCGTTTATGCCACATTAATGAATAACATTTTCTTCATAATTCAGACCACGCTTCTTTGTTGTGACGAAACTGATTTCAGCAATTTTTAAATAACATTGATTTGTGTGTTGTAAAGATTACCTATTAATTTTTATTAAAGGAAATAGAAATCTCTAATGATTAGCGCTGTCTGCAAATAAGAGACTTAAAGGTACATTCTGTAACCTGCTATTTGATGTACTTATTGAATGTGATACTTATAACTAGGTATAATTCTTTATTTCACAACCGATTTGTTTGTTTTTTCAGAATTGTATGAATCCAATAAAGTCGTCAAAGGTTTGTAATGTTTACGCCGGTCTACAACTTACAGAATTTGTTAAAAAACGGTTTACATGTTCACGTTAACTGTGTTTCGTATTGCCTAGTAACATTTTTATTGAACTAATGAATTAGTGAAATATAAATATAGCAACTACACTTATTGTCTTACTTTATAAACCGTGTCCGTCTTTATTAATAGTCGATATGACGCTAGAACAAATATAGATATAGAATAATATGAACTCCTTATAATCCATGGAGTGAACAAGTAATAAGATGGATTATGTATTAATTCATTTCACTTTTAAAATTTAGTTGCCGATTTATTCCAGCACCCTGTCACTTACATCTGCTCACTTAATCCTCTGTAATTATGTGACCTCTTCAAATTGTAATAAGTTATTACGTGTCCCAAGTTTTCAGTTCTTAAATCCACGGATCACTTATAGGCCATAAGATTTTCACACCAGTTATCTGTCTGTGAACTCCAGTCCACTATTACACCACCCATTCTTAATGTGTTATTGACTGTAAAAACAAATGACCTTTGACCTTAAACTGCTATATATATATATATATATATATATATATATATAGTCATTATTGATAACCCACGTCATTTCAGTTATTCATATTAAGGTATGTCAACTGTTTCCCACATCACTGTTAAATCCTAATGCATATTTAGTTATAACGAATGCATACCACTGTTAATCAACATTTATCCTGGTTTCATTTTAATTCATAAGCGGAACTAATCACATGGAATTAAAATCTTAGCTACTGATACGATTTTAATTATAAACGTAATCCGACGAAGGTGAATATGATATGTGGGTGCCTAATCTGCAAAATTGTACGTGGATGTAGGGTTTCTGAATCATTCTTAATTATTACAAACAGTTACACATGAACGTCATTGCTATTTATTCCCACGAAAGTAGGAATAAGATGAAAATTAAAATTATGACAGTTTATTGAATAATCATTGCTGCTAAAGCAGAAAATCAAGTTTACAAGTTGGTATTAAGAATTCTTAAGTAATAATTGTCCACTTTGTTCTCAACTTCCGTTGCGAAACGTTCACCATATTTCTCAATGATGCGATGCTTATGGATTATTTGGCTTCGTTGAATACTTATATACACTTCACTCCGTCGTGGTAATGCAGTTAATGCATTATTTTGGAAGTTCTGGGTATTATGTAACTTTCATCTGCTACAATACCTAAGAAGTTGATGAGCTATGCAGTTAGTATTTCATAATTGATATAGCTTACCTGTAAGATTTCGTCTTTTAACGTAGGCAAGTAGCATGTGACGGCAGGGATATTGACACATCATATTCTAGTGGCATATCCATTTTCTAAATGTTCCTTCACTCCGCCTTTCTGTCTAAGCATATCCATTACCTGGTTCCGAGTAAAACAACCTGAAATATATTTATATACACTTACCAGTGGAGAGTGTAGCTTTCATACCTTTGACATCGGCAGCAGTTGCTTGCTTACCAGTTCTCTCCTTAATGCTTTCGATAACTTCATCTGCTGACTCACAGTGAAGTATTACGGGCTTCAAGTTCTCTTTTTCTTCTGACGATAATCTCCTTGTCAATGGATCACATACCATCCATGAACTACTACATGGATGATTGTGGAGCATGTTGTAGGATTTGATGACATATCCTTGCTCCTCTAGTCTTACACGAAATTTAGATCGACAATTACGGAATTTAGACCTTAAACATAAGATATTAGTTAAAGATCTTACGATTTTTGCCTCACTTTCAAACCTTCCGATTTCCTCTTATGACCAAACGTACAATTAAATGATACAAACAGGTATTTGAACCTGACATCCTTCAGCAATCTGCTTTCTGTGTGGATGTAACGAGTATAAGTAGTCTGAGAAGCGATAAAATTATAATTCCATACTTTTTGGAACTCTTTTAAGGCGCTTTCAAAATCATCCCACAACACGAAACGCTTGTTCAGTATCATACTTCGAAAGGCATCGGTTAGGTCGACTGAAATGTCACTTGAGCATGAAGCACTAAAAACAGAAATGACTAATTATTAAAAGGTTATTCCTTGCGACAATAATAACCCAAGAAAATACTACAAATACTTAGGATTTACCTGTGACTTGACATTTCGTTGAGCTTTACTACAGTTGTTGGGATCAAAGATCAAATTACAAAGCAACAACAGAGCCAACGTGTACACTACAAAACAGAGAACGCTAAATTAATGGTTTTGGTATTTATTTCGTGCTTTTTTATGTAGCATAACATGACTTATATATGAAAAAACTTGGTACTCATGCAATCCAACCAACCCACGGCAATTGAAATACGGAATGACCGCCTCTAGTCAAGCCGTTCAAGGTCGTTGAAACGAAAGAGCGGGCACATTTCAAAAGGACCTAACGTTTAAACCTTGCCATCAATGGATAGCAAACGTCGGCTTCCCTTCATTTATCGCCACAGAATGCGAATGTCAGTCTGAATTTAGACTTTTCCATTGTCTTGATACACTAATAAGGATCATATGATTCCGAACGACCACCTACTACTCACGGACTGACGTGCTGGTTGAATTATTTCGCACACAGTTAAAAGCTTCTCTCTCACCTGCAAACGTAGCACAATGAAGTGATGCTTTTCTGCTCGTATTACTCGGTATTTGTAGTGTAATGAAAGCTGACGATGGATACACTGCAGCACAACTCGTTTACGAAACGACACTTAGACTTGTAGGAGAACTCGTGGATCCTTTAGTTTCTTCAGTGGATATGGATCTGAAAATTCACATTAGCAGGCTCGCAAACGCTACGTGTTCAGTCAAAACTGTTTTAACCTGACAGCAGTCAGATGATATTTTTGTCCAACCTGTTTTACTACATGGTACACAAGATTTTGTACGTTGCGATACATTATGCTGATCCCTGGAAACTGCATATGAAGGACCCTAGAAGGTCCTTTAGAGAAATGCTAAACACTATGCTTTTAATATGCTATTACCTTAAAACGTCCATATATCTGTATGAAGTTTAATAGCCCAATTCTGTAAAGTAGCATAAACAGCGATCAAATGCGATGAGGTCGAACTGTGGTGTGAGCTACTTATATTCATATAAGTAGTATATAACGTGCGTTAAATAAACGTAAGGTCCGGCAGCAGAAGATGGCGAAGATCAAGAAAGGAAGAGCAAGAGCACAATGGAATTGTAAGAAAACGCATGTACAATGGAATGGGAGACAATGGATTAGTGTTTGCAACGGGAACAGTACAGTTTGATATGATGGAATGATATTTTGCAAATTGACGATTGACTTTATGGTATTCACATTTTATTGAGATAGTCTGTAATCTTTGTGCTAAATACAATCGATTGTCCCCACCCGTGTTCTTGTTCACTACAGAACTGTCTAAAAATAATGTGGTATATCGTATGGATCTGTGAATAAAATTAATGTTTTAAAAGACTTTTGAACCACTAGGTAAGCGGTATTACGTAGCTTAACTGTCGTGATTCGATGCTAAAGTACTTATTAGACGACGAACCAAGACAAAGTAGTGACGGTGCATGAATCATTAACAGAATGAAGTTCCGACTCCCTGAAAGATGTCGGAAGTAATAAATAACGAAAACTGTTACTGGTTCTTTTCATTCAGAGGATGTCACCCTGTTTGTCTGTTTGTGGCGACTAAACTAATTTGACTATCAATCTGACGAGACTGAAATAACTTCAATGGAATGATTTTTGGTCCAACATTCTTTATTAACTTTCCTTTAACGTTGATCAATGAGACTCTAAACTCAGTACGGTTTCATCTATTTAAAACCTATTATTTGTTTCCACCGTAATGCGTAATAAAATGGCTGTTAATAATACATCGGAAAAAAACGACTAAGCACTTCTCATAAACCAGATTTGAATTGCATTTCAGAAGCCATGAATTGATCAGCAGATAAAAACTAGAAAGTCTGAACATATACGAGTGAAGTATTGGTAATATCAGACTAAAAGGCAAAATAAAATACAGAACGTTTGCAAAACTATGTTACATATTTCAAATAGACCTATTGCATCACATCCATATGACCATGTCTAGACTACTAAAATCAGAGTCATTATAATTTTCCTTCAAACACCCGTCTCATAACCACATCTCATCATTTCTGTAGTAAATGTTTTCTCATATTCTGACTTATTATATGTAATCACTTGATCCAGACAATTGGTTGAATAAAAGTTGTTATGAAATTTCTATATGTCACTAAAATCTAGCAAGTCGCTGAGTGTTTAGACGATGCTGTCTTCCGTTATTAAAAGGTATGTTTTCATATTTCGTATCTACGATAGGGATATATTGCAATATAGCTGCTTAAATCAACTCAGAACACAGATATATTCACCCAGTTACAACAAGGAAGTGAGCTCAAGGATTAATCAAGCTTTCATTACTAGTGAGTCTTTGCTACTCCAGGAAAAAACATTTGAATGTCTAGTAATATTCGACTTACACAATGTTTTGTTGTCATATACTCCCACCACTGACACTTAAAAATTCATGCCACAGACTTTTTACGTGAAGGCTACTCAGCAACTTTCTTTTAAGCTGCCATTTATTTACCAGTTAAGTAGCATCTCAATAACTGTAATTTTAATCCGAAACCAACATTAATTATTTAAACATATGGTATGATCATACAATGTGGTTCATATATCTGAATTTATTTTGTTAACATTCACTATCATACTTCTCACTATTAAACAACATTTGTGTGAAAACAATGAATAAATTAACTATCATATCATGGTGATAACATCTATTGAAGAATCAGTTCAACTTCCTCTCACTTTCACTTTTGAGCAACGATAATAACTTCAGTTAGCTGTTGAATACTAGATTCATATGAACAGACAACTTCTGAAAATTTTAGCATTTGCACTGTCAAATGCATGTTTATCTGCTTCCTTTTGCGATATTATTGAACTGTGCTTGTCATCATCGTTTGCGCACCTTCTGAAATCGACCAATTTTTTTATTGTTTGATAGGAATTTATAAATCATTTTCTGCTCAAACACACTGCTTCAAATGCGGACCTAGTCGTTAGATATATTTTATTTGATAAAATGGAACTTTCGTCTCTTTCTACGTCCTATCTATAATAAATATACCATTCATATTTCAACACCTTACTGAATAGTAATTTAAGTATTTCACATTCTTCATACTATATCCTTATTGGATGTTATCCATGAAAAAAACTCACTAAGTTCTACACATTCTTTCGTAAAATATATTCATGTAAATACATTGTCTGGTATCGGAACGTTTCATTCAAACTGTCAAACTAGTTCATCTTTGTAAGTTGATGGTCTTTTCAATTTTATTGTAGGTAATATTTTGAAGTGTTGCTTAATTGTTTCGTAAAATTAAGGTCTAGAAACTTGTTAGAAATGAATTTTATTTTACACTAACACATTATTCACTTTAGAATCTACTAGCATTGTATACAAATATTGAAATCAGATGTAGTTACGCAGTTAACTAATTCGGAACACTAAACAGTTTAAAGAAGGTTTTCATAAGGATTAGACAAAAAAAGTTGATGGTATAATCAACCAAAACTATGGAACAAATGTATTTTTGCATTTAATAATCTGAAGTTAAAAAAAATCGAGTAGTGAACAATGAATTACGAGTAGAACCCTAGAAACTGACAGGTTTGTCGCTATCACCTTTCGACTAGATCGTGCATATATTGTGGTAAGTTAACATTGTCAATAACCTGATATTCATCAGTTTGGTTTTCCTTTTTTGTACGTAAAATTTTTGTCAACAGTCTCTAAACGCAGTTTAAACATAATATTGCAGATAATTATTGAAGTTTCGTAAGTGAAATTCATACTTTCGTTATTAATACCTTTTATCTAGAAGAATAGAAGGGAAAAATTGAAATCCACTGACAAACCTACAAATAAAACAAAACTGACCTTAAAATGGCTCTTTTTGAAAAGAATTGATCACTTATTTACCTATAGGGAATTAAAACCATATTACCTTGAGTAAATAATTTAAAAAATTATTTAAGAGCTACTTTAGCACGCATTGAAGCTCCTGAAATATAACTAGAGCAAGTGTCTTAGCTTCGTATGAGTTATTTAAACACACTTTAATTAATTACAACTGAGAAATGAAGTGTTGATCATTTTCGTTTCAAATCCAACAAACGTAATATATTGTATTATGACAGGATAAAATTTATGAACTAATTAATTACTTGAATAATTACTACCTAGTTGAATTCATGAGTCAACTGAAGCTAGACCACCAAAGAAAACATGGAAGAACTGGACGTCCGTATCGTCCTAGTATGGGACTCCCTAGCAGTGCGCACCCACGATCCCGGGTTTCCATGGTGGTATAGCTTCAATTGACTCATGATTTCAACTATTGAAATTATTGAAAAATCTCCACAAAATCGCTTTTGGTAATTACTGCATAGTTAAGATCTCAGTGATATCACATAGAATCTGTATACGTTCTCATGATTAGGCTATAAATATAAACTACTGGATACCATTTCAGTAGTATAAATATAACACTTGAATGTTTCCGAGGTCAAAAGTATGCAATAGTAGAGTCCCAAATCTGCACAGAAGAACTGTTTAATATTTCCCACCAATATATATATATATATATATATATATATATATATATATATATATTACTGATTGATTATTTTTGGCTGTCAAAAACGATATTTTTTTGCTAATAATTCAATTTTCAAATAACCTTTCGAAGACTTCTGGATGTATACAAATGAGCATACGGTATAAACTAGTTAGACTGAGATAAAGTAATTGCCTCATTATCATAAAACTGAATATTATCCAATACAATTTGCACTCCATAGTATTTAACTGCTTTATATATGATTAGCAGTATATATTTTTGGTGAATGGTAAGAACGCCAATTATTATAGATTTGGGATACCTAATAGTTTAGCAGCGATATACAAGATACGACTTTTGTTGTCTTTAATATTTATTAGCTAGAAGTACTGAAAATAATAGTAGTGGGTTTTGAAAACGCATAAACAACTTAAAACCATATGTCAAAATAGTAACAGCCTTGATTCAATGAACGATGAAAAACTGTTGTAACCATAGAGTTCAGTGATAATTATTCTGGAATTTCAAATAAACCAGATGGAATTCAGGCTTTTGGGAAGTAACTAATTTTGACTAAGTTGTAAATATATCTAACAAGAAGATATTGAGTTAGATAAAACATTCATTTTTAAGCCTACTTTTAGTGAATACTAAATACAATCAAAAGAATAAGTGAATTTGAGCATAAAGCTTACTAATAGTTGTCTTAAACTGTCACCGCTGATACATAAAAAAAGAACAGTGATCAATTTCATATTTGACATATTCATTTAACTGATTCTTTTACAATGTCGTAAGACAAATTGCTTAAAACATTAATTACGGTTTGACAATTCAATTATCATCTTCAAAGTAATTGTTAAATTATTTTGTTTATTATTTCAACAATCTTATGTGTACTAAGTTTATTCATAAGTGCGCAATTCACGTGGGCTAAGGAATGAATATATAACCCTAGGAATAATCTATCATTTAATGAATTCATTTCTTTAGACTAAAAACTATTTACGTAGTTTGTTCTGTTTATAACAACTAATATTTGTCAATCATTTATATCTGAATCTAACGACAACAACACAGAAAAACAATAATAAATACGTCAATATTTATTAATCAAAAAATTAATAATCATACCATTCATTTCATTGGAGTAGTATGAGTAGTATCTTATTCAATTGTGAAAATTATGAATATCAGCATAGAGGTGATGGAGATTATTAAGTTTTTGATTGAGATCATGAATCGACTGATGTTAGATCACCATAGAAAACGTGGAAGCACTGGACGGCCATTTCGTCCTGTTGTGGGACTCCTCAGCAGTGCGCATACACGATCCAGTGCTTCCAGGTTTTCAATGGTGGTTTAACATCAGTCGATTTATGATCTCAATTAAAGACTTAATAATCTGTACAACCCCTATGCTGATAATTACTATGTGCTCATTAGTGACTAGCTTCGTGAGGGAATTCTCAGATTCTAATGAGAAGCTGTGACCAGTGGAGCTAATCGGTGTCGGATAGGAACAGGTATCTACTTCATTACAGTGAAAGATGGTAGCGCCACTTCGTGGATTGGTTGAGGTTAGACATTAACACCGTTTGATGCCGGCTCAGTGGTCCAGCAGGCTGAGCGTTCGCGTGCGCGACTGAAGGCCTTGGGTTCGAATCCCACAATAGGACGAAACGGCCGTTCAGTGCTTCCGGGTTTTCAATGGTGTTGTAACATCAATCAGATCATGATCTCAACCAAAGAATTATGATTACTTTTTTCTCTGATTTACATGATTATGATTAGCAAAATGATGATTATTTTCATATATATATATATATTAATATATACTTACTTGGTGGTCCCAAGATATACGATCAATGTTTCAAAGACACCTATGATCGAACTCTTATGTAATGAATCATTTCTCAACTATTTCTTTTTGGAGAAGCATTGCATTAAATTATTAGTTTTGACGAATTTGGTTTGGTTAAATTTAGTTTACAAAATTTCGATATACTGTGTTTGAATAATAGTGAGATAAAATTCACTTCAATCCCACCAGACAGTACAAACCTTATAGTATGCACAACTAAATTAGGTAAATTACTATTGGAAACAAGGTAGTTCAAGCGAAAGTTTCATGTATACTTCTAGAATAGTTTAACTGTTAATAAGAAATAATTTATTCTGGTTCTTTTTAGACCTTCATTTATGTTTGGGTACTTAAATGTTATCAGATAAATAATTCCTAGTAAAACCATCCTAGTTCGCATGCTCTTAAAAGATAACAGATTTATACATTCAATTAAGGGATCAGTGATTTTGTCTTGTGAAAATCCTTTGGTTGGAATTTGAGAATTCGGTAAGTGATAAAATTGACTGTTCGATAACATTGTTCATTAAAGAGTATGCTTAAACTACCCGTACAGAATAGAGGCTTTTTTAGGAGTTCATGTATGTATCTGAAATAATCGACAGGAAGTTATAAAGTTCTTAGAGGTGGTTCTTTACTTCTGAATAAAATCATTCGAGAAATATATCTCTTGACGAAGCTAAGCTTCAGATACCGTACAACTTTTAGCTAGCTTACATTATAACTATTTAACGCTATTACATTTGAAATGTAGGTTAGCATGTTTCAATATAATACCTTCCAGCAACGGAGACATCCTGATTTGCATACATTTTCCTCTCTAATTCAATGCTTACTCGGTATTTATTAGAGTTTTAGAGGTTCTTCATTGGAAATGACTTACTTAAATATAAACGTTTCATGCTGGTGGTCCAAGAATCAGAACTTTTATTTCAAATAGTGAATCATAATGATGAAAAGTCCCGGTATGGCATCAATCAGTGTCAAGAAATCAATCTTTTTCTTATTCTAAATTTCAGATGCTTAAAGATGTGTACAAATGGCTGAATCTTTACTAATCGACTATTCTTCAATGTGTTATACCATGTGTTATCTTCCGGCATTTCTATTGCCCCAATAAACCTAATATACTAAGGAAAACAATTGTTCAGCAGTAGAGATTTGTATTATTCAACGCTACTTCATTATTACAATTTACCCAGTTAGTCCATTTCTGATAATCTATCCATAGCATGGACATATCAAATTAAATGTTTGACATAATTAACTAACAAGGAATAATTCCAAAAAGTAAGAATATTCAGTGATCAACTAAAAATATATTATGAATTTTAAAGGGGCTTGGGAAGTTCTACATTAAAATAAACAATATTCAAAACAATAGCATTAAATATATTATGATACAGGACATGGTACATTAACCAACTGATTCTAACAGAATAACATGTCAAGGATCATATAGTAAATTATTGTTCATCCCCTTACTAAACAATTATCTATCTGAAGAGGGTTTTGTGGAGATTTTAGTAATTTAATAGTTGAATTTATGAGTCAATTGAGGCTAGATCACCATTGAAAATCTAGAAGCACCGGACAGCTGTTTCGTCCTAGTGTGGGTTCCTCAACAGCACGCACTCACGATCCCGCCCTACGGGATTCAAACCCAGGACCTATCGGTCTCGCGCGCAGACGCTTAACTTTTAGATCACTGGACCGGCATCCAACGATGTTAATGTCTAACTCCAACCAGTTGACGAATGTGCACCGCCATCCACCATTGTCTTCAATGAGTTACTATCTCAGAACAGATCTGACTGCACTCCACTGGTCACGGCTCCTCACGAACGCGCGACACCGACATTTCCTGGGTTCAAGTCCAGCGTGCGCGATCATGGATGCACACTGTTGAGGAGTCTCATACTAGGACGAAACGGCCATCCAGTGCTTCCACGTTTTTCATGGTGGTCTAGCTTCAAATGACTCATGAATTCAACTATTAAATATCTATCTGTCAATGACTTTAGCATAGTGTCGTAAATTAAAATTCTTAACTTAATTCATATACGAATCAGAATGAGAGTTACCATGATCATCATTATTGTAAATGTCATTGAATTGTTTGCAAGGCGAAAACTTAAGCTGTGTCTTATAAATTATTGCTTTGTAACACTTTCAGTCTATTCATAGAAGTTCATTTTCGTTAAGCAGAGTAAAATAAAAACAATAGCTTGCATTTGTTGTTTAATAGAGCTTTCTAAACACCGTAGGTATTTTGTGGCAATCATTTCAAGATAATTGATAGTTATTAACAAGATATATCTATATTCATGAAGAGACCGATACTTCCTATAGGACTTAACTATAAACTATCCAGTTTTTCAATTAGACATTATCGAAAGAGACATTACATCATTTAAACAAGTGAGTAAATTAAAGCTTGATCAAGTCAGTCAGTCAGTCAGCTACAATGCAGGACCAGGCACATATATGCGTCAATCCAAGTTTCCATACCTCATTAACACACCAAGATGAACACCGGATTCATAGAACTAGTTAATTCAATGGTGATAATATATAAAAGAAAGACTGCATATAAGGATATAGTACAAAAAGAAAGAATTAGTACATAGAAAGATATGAAGTTAAGTTAAACAAATAATCAGCACTCGAAAAAACAACATGACAATAGTTGTTATTCCATGATTAATTAATGTAGAACACAAGCATTTTAACATTCATTTACTGTCATATTACCTTTCTTTGGAAAAAAACCCAAATAAACATTATCAACGTTTACCTAAATGCACTTTGTGTGTGTGTGTGTGCGTGTGCTCACAATTACAAATGTCTAAGAAAGTTTTTCCATTGATTTAATTTCTTAATTTATATGCACACACTTTGTTAGTTACTTAGTTACAATGAATCTGATTGGTTATTTCTCATCATTATAATAAATAACTTAATATAATTTAACCAAACCCTTAGTTACTAATTTCTTATACAAATAAATTTTAATTTAATTAAACATTTAATAAACAAGGGATTATAATAACAGACAACAACAAAAAAAATGCAAACAATTCATAAAGTGGATGGATTCACTGAAATCTATTTCATGGTTGATAAAAGAAAAAAAGGTAAGTTCAAGTTATATTGAATAAGTTTTTTAAATTATTTTTTCTTATATATAGGGATAATTGTGCATTGGACTAATTATGTACAAATGTGTATCCTTTATAATACTTAGTTTGTTTTTTTTAAAGAAAAAGGATCAGTAGTAATGATATATTTAAAGTGAAAAGTAGTATGTTTTAGTCACAGTGTGAATATCAAAACCAAAATACAGATATATCTAAATAATTTCACTAGTTGAAATCATGAGTCAATTGAAGCTAGATCACCATGGAAAACATGGAAGCATTGAACGGCCGTTTCGTTCTAGTATGGGACTCCTCAGCAGTGCGCATCCACGATCACGATTCTAAAATCTCCATAAAACCCCTTCTGATAATAATCATCTGCTCACTAGTGACTGACTTCAAGAGGCATTTCATGGAGTTCTAGTGAGAAGCCGTTACCAGTGCAGTTCAACTAGGTCTGTTGTGAGATATCAGCTCACTGAAGACAATGGTGTACGGTGGCGCGATTTCGTGGATTGGTTGAAGTTATACATTAACACCGATGAATTCCAGCTGGCTCAGTGGTCTAATGGTTAAGCGCTTGCTCGCGAGACTAATAAGTGTCAGGCTCGAGTCTTGCGGGTGGGGGGCGGGATCGTGGATGTTCACTGCAGAGGAGTCGCATACTAGGACGAAACGGCCGTTCAATGCTTGCAAGTTAGGGTTTAGCTCGAATTGACTCATGATTTCCACCAGTGAAATTTCTAAAATCTCCACAAAACCCCTTCTGAAAACATCTAAATAAAGTGAAGAGTGTATCCTAGGCCCTATTGTTCAGCTAACATAGTAGGTTAAAGTTGAATCAATGACTTACAAAACTGATGACATTTTATAATTGTTCATGATATATAACCTTATTCTAAGGGAGGATAATTTTGTCACTAACACTGGTTGATTATAGATGATTAATTTCACGATACTATCAATCTATGTTTAGAAAGTAAGTTATTAATAAATTAGTGTCATGTATTATTTAGTTTAACTGGAAAAAAATCACCTGGACGGAATAATGCTTAAATTTTCATAGTTTTTGTCAATTTGCAATACAAGCGAGGCTTGGTTAAGTGTCTCTTTAAGAGGACTCAAAGAATTTGTAATTTTGACACGGTGGAAAAAGATGAAAAGTTACTGTCTGACACATTAATAGTAAATGGTTATCCACTAAAGTTTATTAATAAGTGCAAAATTCAGTTAATTCAATTCAAAATAGAGGTGAATCCAACAGTATAGTTTTAAGACAGAGATTGAAAGCAGCCATCGAGAAAACCTATTATGTTGCTCAATTGGTTGTGATTGAAAAGTCTAAGCCCATGATTTCAATAGACCTAGACAATGCACTGATGATTATGCCCCATCCCATTGTATTTACCAATTTACATGTTTGTGTGAACACACATACATGGGGAGGAGTAATCGAATAATGCAATCAAGGGTCATTGGACATGCACGTAGATGGCTTCAAAATCAGTGTTGATAAGAAATAAAATTTAAATTATTTTCGGTATAGTTGTAATCTATTTTAAGTGCTAAGTAAATCCTCATTTATCGTCTTTGTGTTTACACTTGCTTCGTATTAATCACTATTTCTAATAATAATTGCCAGTTTTCTACCGTTACAACAGCTGTCAATACATTTACGGGAGATCAGTAAAAATCTTAATCTGTATCAATTTTGTGTTCTTATTTATGTAGTACAAAGCACAGTGCCTTAAAATAACTCAATAAATTCACTTTAAATATAGTTTCTTAATATTAAACATCCAGGTAAAACATTAGTTCATGTAAACATTGTATAAAAGTGTTCAAAAATAGACTATTTGTTTCTATGTCAGAATACCCTTAAGTCAGCAAAATAAATTTCCCTTTCTAGTGATATGAGATACACATATATTCACAAAAAGATTGTTTGGTCATATTACAAGATTAGAATACTTTTACGATACCGATGGCTTGTCGTTCTTTAGTTTTGTTCTCAATATTACTTAATTTTATTCAGTAGCCTGTATCGTACCACACATAATAATGGTTGCTTTCAATAATTCCCATAATTGATTACGAAATGTACACTGATATTTTAGCCAACACTCATGCAAGAGCTTCAAAACGAAATAGTCTCCTGGTATCGAAAGTTTGACGTATGAATTGTTATTCTTATATCATATTTGACTGATTATCTCGTTGTAGCTGACTGACTGACTGATTATCTACTTATATATCTATTGACAACAGATTTAATATTTTTTTACTCTTTCTGTAACATTTGATTACATAAACATCAAGTTTTATGAAGTTCTCTAGAATGACGAAGATCAGAAAATAACTGGTTTAATTTATGGATTTCCTAATTTTAATTGTCTACTTTCATAATGCACTTTACTGAATGATATTGAATGAGTGCTACAGTTAGCGAGGCTTCAAATAACCGTTAAGAAGAGGGTCAAAAACTTAACAAAGAATGTTGTATAGCTAAAGGTAGAAAAGTGTTTATACAAAATTCAAGATAGTGAGCACTTTGGTTAAAAAGAGCAAGTGTTGTAAGTAGTTTGCATTTTACAGTATATGATAGTTACGTCAGTAGTTGAATACTTAGACTTCCATAATTCACAATTTCGGGATTGATTCGATTGAAGAAAGGCTCCATAAAACAGGTTTTCTGTATCCAATCTGTAAACTAATTTCGACATTTATCTTATGTTAACAACCAGAAATATAGAAAAACTAACTGAATTTTTCTTTTTCATAGGAGATTTACCACTTCTGTTGGTCTTGTGTAGTTAGTTACGAGAGACAAATCTATCATCAAATATTTGGAAAAAAGGCTATTAAGAGCTATATACTGACTAACTTCAGTCGTGTAATCGACCTAAATTCAGATTTTGGATTTAATCAATCCTATTTGAATGATACATAAGATTTGTAGTTCGTATGGATGTTCTTAGTTATTTTGTGTTTGTTTTTCATTTGAGTGACTTAATTATTTAAGATAAACTCTGATGACTTTGTCTAGATTGATAGTGAAAATTTTTAATATTCCATTTGGTTTACCTCTTGGTTCAAATATCTATCTGTTACATTGATCGAAAGTCATAACCATCCATGTCAACGAATTCAATGTTTTTGATCCTTTATGACCTTTTTTGTTTTTATATTTATTTAAATTACACTTTCCTTTTCATTGTTATTACTCAATTGCTGTTAACATTCAACTCCATTTCATGAGCAAAACATTATCAAATATTACCAATATATATACGAAACGGCCGTCCAATGCTTCCAGGTTTTCCATGGTGATCTAGCCTTAAATGACTCATGATTTCAACCAGTGAAATTTCTAAAATCTTCACAAAACCCCTTCTGATATTATCAATACACCTCAATCATTTTCATGATATAATGATTTAGTTAATTATTGATTATTAATTTGTAACACTCCTTTCTTTCATCACTTGATTGGTATTGATTTTGTCATCGGTATTACTATTACTATTATCGAACAGATACATATTCATATAGAGCTATAATGAAAAACTAATCACACGAAAGAAATATTTTCACATTCTATTCACATTATTGACTAAAATTTAAAATCACTTTAGAATAGAATATCATTTATCGTAAACATGTAGGAATAATGTTGATATTCGATTTCATGAAAAAGTTTCTTTAATTAAATATCATTTTTGACATTTTTATCGGTTAATTACTAATGTATTGCATTTAACTCACAATAAGATTCATCATTGTGTTCAAATGTGTAGATCATCAACGTTGATGATCTCTGTCGAATGATTGGGGCCTACGTGATTTAGACAGGAATGGTGTAACTAAAAGCTAACATTGAAGTCACACCTCACCGCCAGCATCTAATAAGAATTACCTCTTCCTCGTATCACGGTGCAATGGACACTTTGAAGACTGTACAACACAAAGGACGTTATCACTGAAATATATTAGTTAAAGTAGGTATAAATGAAAGTATGATTACCACCGCATGGGTCAGTTCATGGCGTACGATTAACTGTACGCGTTGGTTGTCCTTGACCTTGATAGAGATCAGTAAATTGTTTGACATTCAGTGATACAATTGTCGGATGACTTAGCTAGGGTTCAATAACATTTATATGGTCCTACATATGTTTTGTGATTTGAATTTAATGTTCATTCAATCTATTATATATTGATTTACACACTACACAACATTTCTTCAATAAAATATGAAACTTCTTTATTTTTACACACGTAATCTAACAGACGGAATCCTAAAACCTGACCAACTTCAGTATTATATATATGAGATATTCTCAATTATTCGACCCGAAATAAATTGAATAACGAAATATCAATTTAGCTACATTTAGAAATATTAGTACAGTTGGTTGTAATCATTTGGGAATTAGTATTCTCCAAATAAACCGAGTACAAATCACTCAATGTAGCAATTAAAATTGCTAAAACAGAATGGCTTGAGCTTCTGTTGATCACTTGTTGGATTCATCACTGAATATTATAAACAGTGTCATACTTTCCTAGTTCTTGATCCAGATTGAATTCTATCGAAAAAGTTGTACTTTGGTCACTAGTCTAAATGATTCTGCATAGTTTATACTGTTATTTCATGTTTAATGGTCGGAGTCAAGTTAGCAAACTTCATGGACAAATATTTCATGATAATGACCATATCCTAACTTGATCTACAGCAGTGAATGCTTGATGAAGGTGATATTGGTTCGTAAACAGTAATATATCGATGTAACATGAATGCCATAAGATAGAAGACCAATAAGCTTTAGTTATCCCTTCTCACATCCACTTCCTGTTGAACATAATTATCATAATTATAACAGTTTGTTTAAGTATGAAATGAAAAAAAACGTTTGATACGTATTTGGACTTTACTTTTAGGTTGGATTACTATGCCAGAGTTACGAAAGTATATGGAAGAGAATGATGTGGATGAAAAGATGTTTGAGGTAAGCCAAATTTTTCTCTGAAACGCGTGTACAATTGTTTAATAACTTATGGTTCAATAATTTATATTACAGAATAACCTCAGTTAGAGAACCTTTAAAAACCAAGAACATTTTAGCAATTTTTACACAAATATTTGATACAAGAAATACTACTATCTTGTAGTCTGATATTAGCTTATTCTTCTCTTCAAATATCATTATAATCCTTAATTATAATTTAAATCCTTGAAATTGTTTTCGTTCATAGCGTTGGAAAACTCTATTTGATCCTGAATCTACTGGTCGTATAACATTGGAAAAATTCTCTGAAGTACTAGGTTTACAAGAAGAAGTTATGTAAGTTGATATAATTACAGATCAATTCATCAACTATAATAATTTCATACACATAGTTCCCTTTATTATTTTAAAGAGAGCAAGAACTAAGATTGGTGCAGAATAATATGAATTCATTTTATTTTGTTAGGTTCTGATCAGCTGCTTACAACCTAAAATATTTGGAATTCAACGTTATTATAGATATTGACATACTTATACATCAGAGAGTGATGAAGGATGAATATTGTAACATGATATAGCAAAGATTTCATTAGGAATCATGGAATTAAAACACATTAGATTATTAAGCAATGAAATAATTGAAAATAGATTAGTGGTAATAAAGAAAGATATGAATTTAAATTGGTCAGTTATGAATAGTGTAATTATAAAATTCGGAACGAGTTGGAACGACGTAATAAATAAAATGGGGGGAGGTAATGTTACCAGGGAAAATAAAGATTTATTACTGTTCCTTTTTGTATACAAGGATCTGGTTTTAAATGTTTGATTGCTATTACTTCGGTAAATTTCAAAAGGTTTGAATTTAAATGTTTGTTGATCACCTTGAAGGACTTCAGTATATCGACTTCGTGTCCTGTGTCAAGGAGATGTCTTGCGATAGGGCTGCTGAATGCTTTTAGTCCGTTTGATCTCAAACACTTCGGATTATGTTCTTTGAATCGGATGTAGGCTCTCCTTTCTGTTCTACCAATGTAACTGCTTTGATAGATACATGTAAATTTGTATACACAGTTGGTGGTAACATGAAAGGGATGCCTGTCGACCTTTGATTGTATCAAAGAACATGTTATTTTGGACAGGACAATCAATTTAGCTGCATGATACGTTTTTGTCATATTATTCTGCACCAACCTTTGTTCTTGCTCTCTTTAATATAATAATTTCACTTATTTAGAAATATTCAAACTGCTATTCAAGGAAATGAAATGCACGATGTAAATGTTATACAATCAGATATGAATACAAAAATGAAATTGACTATTTGTGGACTAATTGATGAAGGGATATTGATTTATCATGATGATTTGGTAAGAGTATCATTTAAGAGTGATTTTTATTGTTTTGTATAATTTTTCAAATACATTTTCAATAATTTATTGATAATATTATTGTCATAAGATTGTTGTTCTCATTTTCTGACACTATTCTCTATATTAGTGACAATGTTTTCGTCTGTTTATTTCATAAAAGGTTTAAATATATATATACAATTGTGAACTGTTCCATCAATAAACATGATGAATGTAACCAATGTCATTGCAGTAGAACACAGATCAATAAATCAATGCAATCATTGAGATTCCAATTTGTAACCTCTTTGAACTATTTTTAAAATAAGAAAATCACCACAAACTATTCACACAATTATATAATATACCCTTGTGGGCTAGAGTAATATTACATTGGTTTTCAGGAGAATCAGACACCATACAGGCTTTCATGTGATAACTCAAACAGTACAGCTCAATCCTGTGGCGCAACCATACAGGTATCCAGCACCCTGGTGCGTCAATCACATCACCACAAACTATCTTCCTAAGTAACAATCGGTCACTTAATAATGAAGGAATTCGAGATGGTTTACGCACGTTTTATTTACATAGTATAATTTGTGAAATTTAATCGTATCTATATTAAAACAGATATTCCTCATGTTATAACATACTGTTCACGCTTAGTTTAAAAGTATGAACCACTTAATTCCAATTAAGTGGTACAATGTCGTCATGCCTACTTCAAGAATTCGATGTACGGGATTCAATCCTGAGTGAGGTTTTGGGTACACACCATTGTATAATTAACAAACAGGACGAAACCGATTTTTTTAAATAGATCTACAACTGATGTAACCTGAGGATGGAAACTAACTTCGAAGAAATATATATATATATATATATATATATATATATATATATATTCATTTAGTGTTAACGATACGAATTTGTTTAGTATATAAACTGTGATGTGTCTGCAGTAACTTTCCGTGGATTATTTGGAATTAGACACTAACACCGTTGGATGCCGTCTTAGTGGTCTAGTGGTTAAGCACTTGCGCGCGAGACAGGTAGGCCCTGTGTTCGAATCTCGCGGGGCAGGGGCGTGAATGCGCAATGCTGAGGAATCTCACAATAGAACGAAACGGCCGTCTAGTGGTTCCAGGTTTTCCATGGTGGTCTAGCTTCAATTGACTCATGATCTCAACTATTGAAATTACTACAATCTCCACAAAACCCCTTCTGATACTTAGTTATGTGATTAGTCGGTTTATCTGTTAACCGATGAATTTAATAACATTAAAGTTTGACTATATTATGTATAACATCCATTGTAAGCAATGGAAGAAATTTTAAATTTTCAACACATCAACTTGAAAAACGCGAAAAACCATAAAAACTCATTATCGTTTAATCTTGAATTATATAGTATTAATCTGTCTAGTTTACACAAATCCATTATATTTTTAGTGACTTGCTCAAGTATTCCGGCTGCTTCGTTTCTATTCATTCAAATGTCACAATTTTTTTCTGGTTTTGCAGTTTCTTAAAATTAGTAAACTGAATCTGTTGATTACATGAATTAATGATAAGCTTCAACGAAAATCTTACAAACTATCGTCATACTAAATAATGCAAACTAAAACGGTAACGCTTTTGTTGTTGGAATAGTTTCTTACTTCTTTAGTTCGTAGCGGAACAAGAAAAAATTACATTTATATTGACGTACATATATCAAACTAGTGATATGCTCTAATGTCTCATTTAATGTATACATATATTGCATTATTTAAAAAAACATTGAATACTCAGAATTTGCCGAAACAAATTTGCGGTTGAATATGAATGGCAGATATAGGGTTTTTTAATATACGTTTCTGAGAACTGCTACTATTAAGATAATATAGTTTAGAGAAGAATTTGTAACAGTACTTCACGCTTTGAGCTGATAATTCCCTACCGTATTCAAACATATGTTATTACGGTATTTCAAACAAATACAGTAAAACAGTCTTAATCGAATGTTAAATCTTCATTTACATTAATTGAAACATCTTTGGAAATCTTCAAATATCAGTCTTCTTAGGTACATCATTGTTTTTTTAACGGTGATTGAGGATTTCAAAAACTAAAATGAAGTAAGTCTGGTTAGCACAGAAGATGAACATACATAGCGATGGAATTACAAGTCAGAAATTTTCGGACACATTGCTTAATGTACCAACATCATAATGATACATAAACAATCCATCTGTATAGCACACATTTCATAGGATTCTTAAAGTGTCTGAGAATTTCTAAGTATAAGACAGCATATACTGTTTGCCCTTCAGATGGAAGCGTATGATGTGCGACACACAGATTACCAGCAATTGGTATATCGAATATCGTACTTGTTGAATAGACTGTATATAAGCTTCAAAAGATTCCAAATCAAAAGTATTGAGGTTAGGAAATATGTTTGAGGTAATAAAATGCAATATCTGACCAAATAATAATCTTGTAATTATAAAATGCACACTGAAAGAAAACGCATTATATTTGTTCATCTATTCCTTGATAAATCAGCTGTTTGAAATCATTTCATTCGTCCACATTATCATGACAAATTAGTGGGTGTCTGCCATAACTAGACTTGAGTGATCATGTTAAATAATTAGAGGACTGAACTGAAACCTTAAGTTTATCAGTAATACGTCGTAAAACGCCAGAGAATTTCCTCGATTCTTGTGCTGGATGACTTAATCTTTTACCGTTCATTTCGCTTGTATTGAGTGGTATTATTCAAGTTTAGAATAATGACTAAAGCTACTCAGTTAAATTACATAACACAGAGTGTAGCACTTCAAACATAAAACAATCCCTTGATCTGTTTCACTTATTTTTTTATTTTGATTTAGAAATTAGTTGAGTTCTTGAAAGATGAATTGGATAAGTATTTTGGAAAGTTATGGAATGTAATCATCATCTATGGTCGATACTGGTCACGTTATTGTCATGAAACAGGTTATAATTTTTGTTTTATCAAAGACGACCGTATATTCCTAGTATACAAGATTCCGGATATATAATAGAAAAATAAGATATTTCAATCACATTCCATTCTTGAAGATATTTTTGTGATAACTCTGAATCAAAAATGATGAACACAAAGACTTCTCTTGTTTTGATATTTTACGTGTAAATTTTGATTCCGGTTTATTCATAAGTTTGTCGAATTCTTTACTATATTACAACCAATCAATGATTATATAATAGTTGGACTTATATTTTAGCTAACAAAAAACATGTGGTGAAATGTATAAGTAGTATATTTCATGTTTATACTCACTGTATGTGGTTAAAATGTTCAGTGAAAGATAACGGTTTTGACGGGACCTGCAATGTTAAATAATTACTGTCAGGTGTATGGCCTGTACTTACTAAGCAAAATAAAGATGTAGTTAAATGCAATAAAATGTTATTACAGTCTGTCCGTGTACTTAATACTTAGCATCATTTGGACATGATTTTCAGTACATATACATCATAACCCTTTCATCTAAAGTACTATAATAACCATAGAGTTATCCTGTAGTATGCATTTTTTAAGGCTTTATACTTGAACATGTGAAACATTAACAAAACGGTGTAATATTTATGCATGAAAACATAAAAATATGTTCAGCTTATTATTTACAACTATCGATTATATGCGCACAAAATAAGTTATTCTTGCATTCATCGATAAACATTTGTTCTCTTAGTATATGTGATTATGTTAATTTTGAGGAGTCTCATACTAGAACGAAACGGCCATCCAGTGCCTCCAGGTTTTCAATGGTGATCTACTTTAGATCAATTCATGAATTCAACTATTAAAGTTTTGATTTACACATAATAATGATTATACTCTTTATCAGTGCTTGTGGACTCTGATCATACTTATTACAATATAGTCAATACTAATTAAAATATTCCTTGACCTTAAAGATTAAGTTTCAGTTATTATTTATGTTGCATTATTTTACCATAATTTGAAAATTATGTAATAAGATAAGCTCACTATGACAAAATGTATTTCTTTGGTTAAGGTCAACTAAACTAACACTCAAATTAATTCTTGTCAAGCCCTAGTAAATATGGTTCATATTCACTTGAAAATAATTAGAATAATATGAGTATAGTTCACATCATAGTGATACATTTTTATAGTTTATATCATCGAATGAACACTTAACTGTATAATAAGAGTAAATGTTAACTTGAATAACGAATAAGTATTCATACAGTTGACCTTATTCACATTTAGTTGTCTTATCAACAAAACAAAACAAAAAATGAACATTTTATGTCAAACCTAAATGTTGAGTTTTTTTACAGGTTATATATTAAAAGTATTCATATATTCGTCGAAGTTCTAGAAATTTACATTTTCGTGCTGACGAACACTTCTAAGCTTGGCTGAGCAAAGGTTTGGTGAAGAAAGTGAACAGCTCGGCCCATTTAGTGCAAACTGGTCATAGTGTCAGTATAAACCGATCCTTTTCAGTTATTTATCGGGCCAGTAATTTTTTGCCAAAGTTTGTCAGACTTAAATTCCTTCAAACGGCTGAAGCACTAGACATCCGGATGAAGAAGCCTAAGCTATGTTCTCCTCCCCTAACCAACCTCAAGACCAATTAATCAATAGTAATCTTAGCTATTGAATAACCTAATTTGACAGTTGTACCTAAGACCTTTATCATTATTATCATTAGTACTAATGGCTTTATTCAATATTGTATTTTGTTACAATATAGAATTGTCAGCACAGGGTATTTCAACAAGTTTCTTTCATAAAAAGTAAGAAAAGAAAAAGGTGGAAAAAAAGATCTGAATCTGTACAACTTTTCAAATTAGAGATATGTTTGAGAATACAGGTTATTGACTAGGTTAACTCTAACAACCTGTTCGTTACAGAGTATGTTTGCTGGGTAAGGTATTATAAAACTTTTATACCTTTGCTTGCGTGCATGGATTTTAATGTATTTATGTCTTGTTCTACCAGAGGATAGATAAGGAGAAAGATATGAGTGAAGGGGATGGTCAGTATCTGATATGATAACACCTGCCAGGAGTTTGAAAAACTTTAGATGTCTATCGACAGCCATATTAATAATGACCTCGAAAGACTCACCATACACCTTACTAACTACCTTCAGCACTCTCTGCAATACGGCAAAGTCTTTTCTCAAATGTAACTGTCCCTATTATCTTTATTCACAAATCTTTGTGTTATTATTATTATTACTATTCGTTAAACGTGGTTATTATTCTCCTCAATACATTTACTTCTCATTCATCCCATTTTATTATGTTTCACTAATAGTTTTTACACAGTATAGTCTTCCATTAAACATTTGGTCGAATTGTAATTGCACTATTATTTCTCTCGCCCTATCTGACCCATATTTATTCGGATAATGGATCTTAAATTTTCACTTAATATATAAGCTGATTCAAATTGACATTCTATATGAGTCATATTAACATTAACAACTTTATTCTATTTTGTTTAACAGTTCTAAATTCAAAGCAATTAGTCCGTTTGATAAATTTCGGTTATGTAATAAGAATACGAAGATTATCAGAACTTCTGAGTAGACGAGAAGATGGCTCAGTCAAGCGACCCATTTTTAGAAAACAAACATGGACAGGTCAGTGCCTTAGTTATTATAGTTATTGCCCTGTGCAATACACACGTGGTTTGATAAGGTGCCTGTTCAACAGGCTTGATCGTATTTGTACAAATGACGCCATTGATGATGATGTTAGGTTGCTAAATAAAACATTAATAGAAAATGGCTATCCTCTGAAATTCATAAATGGATGGAAAGTCCATGGTACAGTGAGACTTACTGTGGTCTTGGTAGAAAAAAACTTGTCTACATCACCTTACCATTCAGAGGTGATTCAAATAGCCTTTTATTGAAACAAAAGCTTAAATAACTCGTCAAAAAACGTATTACGCAGCAAAGGTCACTATCAAAGAAAGAACTAGGTGCATGCTTCATCCAAAACCTAAAAGACATGAAAACGGTTGTGTCACACCCCACTGTGTTTATCAATTTAAGTATGTGTGTGATCACACATACATAGGGAGGAGCAATCGTGATCTCAAAATTAGGGTGTGTGAACATGCACCAAAATGGTTGCAGAAACAAATACAATCAAGTGACTTAATAAGAGCAGAGGATAAACATCCATCATCCTCTATTGCTAAACATATTATAATAAAATAGGCCATAAGATTGATCTTAACTCGGCTTTTGTGACGTTGTGTAAAAGTATAGAAGGGCGTATACTAAAGAAGAATGTATTTGTAAAATCTCAGCGAAAGAATTTGAAGTAAATCCAATGTTTCGCCTGGCAATCTAGCCCAAGCTTTTTTCAAGGAAAGTTCATGACTGAAATCTGTCGGGGCATAGGCCGAGATGACGAAAAGACATCGTTTCTCGCGCCGATTTCTTCTCACTTCGATGGAAATTTCTAATCTAACGGGACATAACCGACTGTTAATAGGGATCCAGTCGATTAATGCTTTTGGGAGTAATAATGTACTTAACCCTTAACTTAACTAATTTTCGGATTATTAATTCGGATATATAAATTGTAGAACCTGAAGAGAATTTATCGAAAATAATATTCTTCGTTCAACTATTAGTCTTTCAATAGTTGAAATCATGAGTCAAATAAAGCTAGACCACCATAGAAAACCTGGAAGCATTGGACGGCCGTTTCGTCCTAGTACGGAAATTCTCAGCTGTGCGCATCCACGATCCCGCCCCCCATTTGCAAGACTCGAACCTGACACTTATTAGTCTCGCGAGCGAGCGCTTAACCATTAGACCACTGAGCCAGCTGGAATTCAACGGTGTTGATGTACAACTTCAACCAATCCACGAAATCGCGCCACCGTGCACCATTGTCTTCAGTGAGCTGATATCTCACAACAGACCTAGTTGAACTGCACTGGTAACGGCTTCTCACTAGAACTCCAGGAAATGCCTCTTGAAGTCAGTCACTAGTGAGCAGATGATTATTATCAGAAGGGCTTATGTGGAGATTTTAATAATTTCAATAGTGGTTAAGCGCTCGCGCGCGAGACTGATAGGTCCTGGGTTCGAATCTTGTGGGGGGGGGCTGGACGTGGATGCGCACTGTTGAGGAGTCCCATACCAGAACGAAACGGCCGTCCAGTGGTTCCAGGTTCCCCATGGTGATCTAGCTTCAATTGACTGATGGTTTCAACTATTGAAATTACTAAAATCTCCACTAAACCCTTTCTGACATTGGTCTTTTAGTAATGGGAATGAAACTATTATAAAAATGACATATGATGTGAAAGTCTAAGAAGTACATCGCAATTCACTAATAAGTTGTTTAAATTACATCAAAATAAACTGTATGATATAAAGTAGATAGTAATGAATTTATGAAATGCAACATTTAATATTTTAAATGTTATGAACGTTTATGTTGTAATTATGAAATCACTTTAAAGAATTAAGATAATGGTTTCGTCCTACTGTGGTGTATCAACAGATATAAGTAGTATATATCTTCAATCGAAAGCGGAGTGCCTGGAAACAGAAGGTTGAGGAAATTAAAGAGAAGAGAACGAGAACATAGAGTGATTGGTATGGAAATGAAAGAATAGTGAAGTCTGAGACAATTGATTAACATTTTGCAACTGAAGTATTTAATGTATATATCACAGATTTTACCCAGATATACTGTAATGTTGTTTTAAAATACATTTGATTGTCCCCATTGCTGTTCTCGTTTACTACACTACTTACTTACAGAACATTTGCTACTTACATTATGCAAAAAATATATATGTACGTAAAAGTGGACACTTTATCAGTTAAGTAACAAAGACTTAACTGATTCCATTGAGAAAAGAATCACCAAAGTACTCAGAGATCTTCTGAAAAAGAAGATGATCGATAACTCTACTTACAATAATCTACGACCTCGTGGGTCTCGTTTGCCCCACATGTATGGATTACCGAAAATACATAAACAAGGTTATCCTCTTAGACCTATTTTGTCAATGATCAATTCACCATACCACAAAGTTGCACGATGGTTGGCAGATAAGTTAGAACCAGTGCGTCAACGATTAGCCACCTATACACTAAAGGATTCATTTGTATTTGCTGACAGCATGAATCACATAAATATTGCCGGTAAGTTTATGGTTTCTTTTGATGTAACATCTTTGTTTACAAAAATACCACTTCTTGAGACCATAGACATAATTTGTCAACATTCTGACATCCTACCTCTACCAGTACCAGAATTCAAACGACTATTACTCATTTGTACAAAAGATGTTCAGTTCCAGTTCAACGATATCATATACAAACAAACCGATGGTGTAGCGATGGGAAGTCCGTTAGGTCCTGTCCTAGCAGATATTTTCATGGCTAACCT